AATCGTTCAAGAACGACCCAACACTATTCTGAACGAGCACAAAACCTCCCGAACAAAAACATGTGTACAGGATGGAGAAACGAGCGATCTCTTATGTAAACAGATGCATATGAAAAATAATGCGATCATCAGCGATGGCAGCATATATATGAAAACTGCATAATGTTACGGAGTAAAATGTTGAGCCAGGGAGTGGTATATGTCTGTGCAAGCTTTGGAGGTGTTGATTGAAGCAATTTACTGGATTTATGCTTTGATAATCATACTGAATATTACCCAGATGTAGTTTTTGATAAAAATTAGATTTTCTCACCTTTTTGCTAAAAACTTATGCATTTTTATGAAACCTACCTATATTCAAGTGTTGATAAAAAAAAGAATGCTTTAAGCTAGAATAAAACTTTTTTTGTTTAAAAGTAGAGGCTGTGATCTTTATTTTGCTGTATTGCATATTCAAATATTCATACAGCAAAATATTCTGGAGGCCATCAAATTTTTGTGAAAATCATCAAAATCGCTGCCGGTGGCTGGCAACTTTTTTAAAAATGCTGGCGGTGAAAGAGTTAATAGTAATTTATCTCATTCATCTTTATGATAATTATGTAACTATTATGTTTAGAATATAATTATATTTTGTTTTGCTCATTTATATACTGTATATATACTTTTTAAGAATGCTTTTTAAAATGTATTTTATCTCCTTCCTCCACTAGGGTAAGTCAGCATAGTAAGACCACTTTGATGACGACCGACAATCTGTCCATTTGTTTCTGGCCTACGCTCATGAGGCCAGATTTTGAGAACAAGGACACGCTGTCCACCACCAAACTCAACCAGTCCGTCATCGAGTCCTTCATCCAGCAGTGCCAGTATTTCTTCTATGGTGGTGAAATCACAGAGACCTCCAGCGCCGAGGGGACGCCTCCTCCACATGGCCACGGCTTAGAGTCCCTGCTGGCCCTTCAGCTCCCTCCTCCCCTCCAGCCACAGCAGATCCAGCACCCGCTGCCCCCCGAACCCCTCATATAGACCTCCTACTCACATTCAGCTTGTACGTGTGCGGATAAGCCGCTTAAAATAAGAAGTGAAAAAAAAGAACCTTTTTTTGTACAAACGAAGATGTGACTTGCATAAGACCTCCCCTGTCCCATTTTTTTTCTTTTTGTTTTAATTTTCCCCTTTTCTGTTCCTCAGCCAGTCTGAATGAGAGAATGAGTAAAAACTGTAAAGAAAATGTCAATGTTAATTTGACGGTAAATGTGCACATTGACTAATTTCAAACATGGCAAACATAAGGAAGATATATTTATAAAACTTTTTTGTTTTGAAAGACAATGGAGCTGTCAATGACTCACTAAAACCAACACCACATTCACGGCTTGCCATAATGGCAAAATGTGCCATTTGTCTGCTTGTGTTTGTCCCCTTTTTATTTTACAATGGACTAAAGATATATTTTTAGGATATTTTTATCTTAAAGACAGCAGTTGTTGTAGGGGTGGTGATGTCCCAAGGCATTTGGGATTGAACTAATAGGAGTTTATAAAATCAGGGGCACCTGCCTAGGATGCACTTTGTCCTACAGACTTTGAACCGGGAGCCCCTCGTACTCTGGAAACCACAGAAAGGGAAACAGCCCACTGCAACCGTTTGGCACATCTCAGAGATCCAGGCTTCAGAAGATGCCAGGTTATCTCCGTCTCGTTTCATGTTTGTTCGTTTCCGTTTCCGCAGACCACCTTAAAAATGTCTATGGTTCTGTTGATTAATTTCTTAAACTGAATTTGCATGTTCTTTGCCACTTTTAATAACTGAAAGAGAGAAAAAACTTTAATGCTTAACTGTTTTTATGCAAGACTTTTTTTTTTTTTTTTTTAAATCTAACTTGTTTGAGAGAACATTAAAATGGGGGTCAAATTGTTATATTCGTTTGTTTGTGTCATGCCATAGTTCGACTGATCATATTTTGACTTTAATAATTTCCCTACAATAGGAAAATATAAATGTATCTATATATATATATATATATATATATA